ACAAAATACCTTTAGACTGTAACCCCTAGTTCTGGATTCTTTGGTCATCAAGAACATCCTTCTTGTGTTTACCCTGCCTAATCCTGTCAGAATTTTATAGGTTACTATGAGATTCCCCCTCATTCTTATAAACTCCAGTGAATATAACCAATTCAGTCTCTCTTCATGCTTTAGCGCTGCCATCTCAGGAATTATTGTCCTGAATAACATTCAGTCAAGGAAATTGGTTATCTTTGTGATCTAATTGGAATTTTATACATTTTGGAGATGATGTTGTGGAATAATGGGGCATGTCTGGGAGAAGATAGGACCACTCAAAGATGAAGGAGAGAACTTCTGCTTGGATGCAGAGAATGTGGGTGAGATTCTAAATGAGTACTTTGCATCAGTATTCACCCAGGAAAAGAATATGGAGTATAGTGAAATTTGTGTGGAGCATGCTAATATGCTAGGGCATTTTGAGATCAATAAAGAAGTACTGTTGGATCACTTGAAGAGCATTGAGATGGATAAGTCCCCAGGCCTGATGGTATCTACCCAAGGTTCTTGAGAGAGGCAAGAAAGGAGATTGCTGGGGCCTTGCCCAAGATCTTTGTATCCTCACCAACCACTGGAGAGTTCCCAGAGGACTGGTGAATAGTTAATGTTGTCCTCTGTTCAAGAAGGGAAATAGGGATAATCCAGGAAACTACAGATGAGTGAGTCTCACATCGGTGATTGGGAAGCTATTGGAGAGAATTCTTAGGATAGGATTTATGCATGTTTGGAAAAGCATGGCCTAATTAGGGACAATCAGCATGGCTTTGTGCAGGGCAGGCCACATCTCAATAATTTGATTGAATTTTTCAAGGAGGTGACAAAGGTGATCAATGAGGGTAGAGCAGTGGATGTTGTTTACATGGATTCTAGTAAGGCTTTTGGCAAGATCCCTTGTGGTAGCCTCATCCAGAAGATTAAGATGTGTGGGATCCATGGTGACTTGGCCGTGTGGATTCAGAATTGGCTTGCCCACAGTAGACAGAAGGTAGTGGTGGAAGGGTGCTTTTCAGGTTGGAGGTCCATAACCACTAATGTTCCACAGGCATCCGTACTGGGACCTCTGCTGTTTGTGATATATATAAATGACTTAGATGAAAATATAGATGGGTGGGTTAGTAAGTCTGCAGACAATACAAAGATTGGTGGTGTTGTGGATAGTGAAGAAGGTTGTCAAAAGATACAGTGGGATATAGATTAGTTGCAGATATGGGTAGAGAAATGGCAGATGGAGTTTAATCTGGGTAAGTGTGAGGTACTGTACTTTGGGTGATCAAATGTTAAGGAAAAATATACAGATAATGGCAGACTGTGAACAGCATGTACAGAGGAATCTTGGTGTTCAAGTCCATAGCTTCCTGAAAGTAGCCACGTAAGTAGGTATGGTGGTAAAGATGTTGTATGGCATGTTTGCTTTTATTGGTCAGGGAGTTGAGTACAAGAGTCAGGATGTCATGTTGCAGCTTTATAACACTTTGGTTGCGCCACATGTAGAGTATTGCGTTCAGTTGTGGTTGCCACATTACAAGAAGGATGTGGAGTCTCTGGAGAGGGTGCAGAAGAGGTTTATCAGGTTTAGAGGGTACTAGCTATAAGGAGAGGCTAGAAAAACTTGAGTTGTTTTCTCTTGAGTGGCATGGGCTGAGGGGAGACTTGATAGAAGTCTATAAAATTATGAGATGCAAATATAGGGTGGATGGTCAGAATCTTTTTCCCAGAGTTGAAATGTCCAATACTAGGGGGCATGCATTTAAGGTGAAAGGGGTACAGTTCAAAGGAGACGTGTGGGGCAAGTTTTTTACACAGAGAGTGGTAGGAGTCTGGGTTCACTGACAGTTGTGATGGTGCAGGCAGATACAATGGGGCATTTAGAGACTTAGATAGGCACATGAATATGCAAGGAATAGAAAGGTATGGATCAATGGCAGGCAGAATGGATTAGTTTCATTTGGCACCATGTTCGGCACAACACCATGGACCGAAGGGCCTGTACTGTGCTGTACTGTTCTATGTTCTATGTAAAGGTTTAGCAATCATATTTGGAGTCAAGAAGTTCCACCAATACCTTTATGAATGTAAATTTGGAATAATAACAGACCACAAATCCATGCTAAATCTACTTAAAGATGACAAGGCAGTGCCACCCATAGCTTCAGGCCGAATTCAGCAATGGGGTTTAATTCTAAGTGCATATAATTACAAGTTGGAACACCGTCCGGGAGGCCAAGTGACAAATGCAGATGCATTGAGACGCCTCCTGCTGGCAGATACATTGCCGGTAGTGTGGCCATTGTTAGAGTCCGGAATTTTTTTAATTTTCTGGGCACACTTCTAGTCACAGCTAACAATATCAGACTTTGGATGCAGAAAGATCCAGACCTGGCAAAACTGAAACAGCTTGGGGTTATGGGGGAACCAAAGGGCTATCACAACCAGAAATTGAAACCTTTTTGGACCCGGAGAGACCAGATCACAGTAGACGATAGAATAATGTTATGGGGAGCAAGAGTGATTGTCCCAAGCAAAGGTCACTACCAGATACTGGCTGAACTTCACCAGGGTCATCCAGGGGTTTCCAAAATGAAGGTGCTGGTGAGAAGTTATGTCTAGTGGCCAAGATTGGATGCAGACATAGCCACAGTGGTGAGATAGTGCCCAGAGTGCCCACAAGGACATAAATTCCTGCCAGCACAGCTCCCCTACATTTATCGGAATGGCCGGGTAAACCCTGGGCTCAATGTTGTTAGCCATTGTGGACAGCCCACTCAAAGTGCCTGGGTATGCATAGCATTCATTTGTCAAATACAGACTCCTATAAGTGTTGGTCACAAATAATGGGCCATTGTTTAGCAGCAGGGAATTTGGTATTTCCTTAAGTCGAATTGTGTTTGACACACAAGGACAGCTCCATGCAATCCATCATTCAATGGTCTGGCGGAAAGAGCAGTCCAAACATTCAAATTTAAAGAAACAGCCTACAGCTTCACTTAATACCAAACTGTCCTGGTTCCTATTTTATTGTAGGACTACCTGTCCCATAACTACAGGGATAACTTCAGCAGAGTTGCTCAAGGGGAGAAGACTCCGCACCAGGTTAAACCTGATCTTCCTGGACCTGGGAGGGTTGGGGGTGAAATGGCATCAGGAACACCAATGCCAGACTCAAAACTTCGCTAAGAGAGAGAGATAGTTTACTTCAGGGCTTTAAGTTTGGTTTAGGAACCATGGAAATAGCCCTGCGTGAGTAAGAGGAATGGTCCATGTGAGGTCAGGCCCAGTGATGTATAAAGCTCGGGTCGATGCAAGGGTCCTGAACAAGTATGTGGACCATATGAAAGCTGCAAACTCGTAAATGGTGCAGAACCAAAACATGCCCAGCTCCTCGACTGCCTTTCCAACTGTTCTGGAACCCATGAGTTCTCACTCTCTGCCAACTGTTGAAAATACCTGGAATCTGAGATGAACACAGTGGATGTCACCATTTCGATGCCTTTACTGCCTGAAGAAGAGAATGAATTTCTTCCAAGACGCTGTAAGTGCAAGAGGCAAGCTGCTGTGCGTTACACTTCGCCCATACCAGAGGCAGAGTTGGAGGTATCTGACCCAGTGCTAAAATGCCCAGGAGGAACTACAAAAATTGGCCGGCCTACGTCCTCAGACTCAGAGAGAGAGAGATATAGTGATCGCAACAAGATCAGCTAGATGGACCTCATGGAATATGCGTTCCCTGATTGGGGCTGTTAATCTGGTCCAATCAGGGAGCCCTGTCTGACAGATAAGAACAGGAGTGTCTGACATTCTGTTCATTCTGAGAGTTGGCTCTGAGGGAGCTGGATCAGTGTCAAAGACTCTCCACATGTAAATAAAGGGTGACTTGGTTACAGGAAACTGATCTCTGTGGAGTTATTTCAAGATCAAACATTAGGAGTAGATTCCAAATATGAAGGTCTCAGAGGGACAGTGACTTGAAAGAATTTAAAAAGTCTTTACGTTTTGTGATAAGAACCCATGGTGAAGACTAAACAGTTGCAACTGCTAGACAGACAGAAGTAATGGCTGACAATAAAATTTGGCACAAATTTATTAAGGGATTATTGTGCATTATTGCGTTTATTACTGCATTATTGTGTTTACCTAATATGCTGGAACTGTTTTGACAAGGTAACAGAGGTGATTTAACAGGGTAATGCTGTTAATGTGGTGCTCATGAACATCCAAAGGGCACTTGGTGAGGTGTCATACAGCAGACATATGAGCAAAGTTAAAGATCATCGAGTAATGGGGAAAGGAGGGACATTGGTACAAAATTGTCTGAGTAATAGGAAACAGAGGGTAGGGTTAATGGATATTTTTGGGCTGAAAGTTATTTTGTTGTTGAGTTCTCAGGGTTTGGTGCTTGCACACTTGCTCTTCCGGATATGCACATTAACAACCAAAACCTTAGTTTCCAGGGTATAAATTTGCGGGTGATGCAAAACCTAGAAGTATTGTGAATGGTGAGGAGGAAAGTGCAGAACTTCAAAGGGCATAAACAAGCACAGAGAGGACATATCATCTCAGCAATTCTGGCAGCATGTTCAGAGAGACAGAGTAAAGGCATAGGTTGGTGGAATTGCTGGACAGACGGCAGATATAATTTAGTGTAGCAAAGTGTAGGGTGACAACTGAGAAGAATGAATTTAGAGGCACAACATAAAACAAAGGGTACAATTTGAAATGGAGCAAAAGAAGAATGTGTGATGTTATAGGGAGAGGCTGGGACTTGGAACTAGTTAAATTACATCTTTGGAGAGCCAGTACAGATATGATGCCAAATGGCCTTCTCCTGTTGTGTCACCATTCTTTGATTTTCTAATTCTGTGCTTTGTATCTGTATAAGTTCCTTCTCAAAGGTCTGCCTCCTACTTTCTCCAGTCTCCCCAGTGCAGAGTTATACAATTCTGAACTTCTCTATCTCTTTGCAGCTATATGAAACAGCCAGGGTTCGTCATGGGCTGATGACATTGGGTCCTAGTGGCTCTGGGAAGACTTGTGTAATTCGTATTCTCATGCATTCACTGACTGAATGTGGAGCTCCTCATCGGGAAATGCGCATGAATCCTAAGGCTATCACTGCTCCACAGATGTTTGGGCGACTGGATCCTTCAACTAATGACTGGACTGATGGGATCTTCTCAACACTTTGGAGGAAATCTATCAAGTCAAAAAAAGGTATGTACAGTTTTGAAAGTTAATGAGATAAGCTCTGCATTTTTGTGAAATGAATAAAATGGATTGGATTCAAGTGAATGAAAGTGAAGTAGCTCAATGTGCAAACAATTCACACTGTCAGAATACTGTCCAGGCACTAAGTATAAACATTTATTCTGAAGTTTCTGAGTTTTGGCCCTTATTAGCAGCATATTGCAAATTTCCAGCGCAGGTTATACCAGGGTGATAAAATAAACAGTTTAAATTTTATTGGTACCAACAGAAAGAAGCCAACAAAATTCATTATATTTTTCATAACTCACGGCAAATGAAAATAGAATTCATTGCCATGCCATAATGGTGGCTGCCAAGCCAGGTCTCGTTTGCACCAACTGCTTTTGTTTTCTTTTTTCCTCTTTTCTTGTTGTTTTTTAACTTTTTACTTACTTCCCTTACCATTGACGGTGGTGAGGAATCCCAATGTGGCCTTGAGTGGGCCCAGTGTGGACCACGTAGTGACAGCAAGTGGGCCAGGTGCAGACCTCGTGGTGACAGCAAGTGGGCCCAGTGCGGACCTCGTGGTGACAGCGAGTGGGCCCAGTGC